TGATTGTTTAAATTAAGATTCAGAAGCTACGTGTTCATTTTCACTCTTTTGGATTTATTTCCTGTCCTATTAGTTATCAATATTACTTTTCTTTTTCTAAATATGCAATGAATCCATCTGGATAATACTCATTAGAAAGTGGTCAAAAATAAGAATTCTATGTGAAAGAGAATTTTTATGACACCTCATTAGTGTTATTTGGAATAAACTATAATGAGAAACCCCAAATTACATGTTTATGGTAAACCCTTCTTAAATATCTATGTATTTTTCTTATTTGTATTTCATTAATTATTATAGTTGTCCCGTGAGATACACTTACAACAGGATGATTTTGGAAAATAATTCATTTTTTTAAAGAGGTTTTTTTTTTAAGAGAGAGAGAGAATTTTAATATTTATTTTTTAGTTTTCGGCAGACACAACATCTTTATATGTGGTGCTGAGGATCCAACTTGGGCCGCATGCATGCCAGGCGAGCGCGCTACCGCTTGAGCCACATCCCCAGCCCAGAAAATAATTCCTGAAACAGCTTGCAAAACTGACATTGACAGGTCAAAAAAGAAAAGTTTTCCAAAACTGTGGAACCTATCAGCAAAACAAAAATAACACAAGTCTTTTTTTTCTTATCCTTCTCAAAATAAAATACTAGCCTAAATAAAAGTTTGCAGTGGCTTATTGTTCCATTTTTCTCTTTCAATGTATTAATGAAACTTTCAATCTTCATGGAGTGAATATGATTTAGGAAATTCCACCTAATTATTGTAGCAGTTTTATTCTCTCTGTTGTGTAACCTCCTTTTGAAGAGAAGAAAGAGGTCATATTTCTAGTACATGGAAAGGATTTATAAAATTGAAAAAGATATTTTATTTATTTGGATAAACTTCACGGAAATCTGCATCCTGCAGTGGAAACCTTGAGTTAATTTAGATGACTATTCCTTAAATAGGTTTCAATTTCCATTCAGTTACAAGAAATGCCAAAGAAATATAAAACTTACATTAAGGAAATCTGGTATACTATCTACATGTACCTCAGAGTTCCTACTTTTCCAAATTTTTAGCAGTATTCATTCAGTTGGGAAATTCTTCTGAAGTAGGTAAAATGCATTCGTTTTGCAAAAATATTTGCTTCCCCAAAGATTTTTAGCTACATATCTATGATGCATAACATGCCTGTGTAATATTATTGAGTCATATATTTAAGTTCTTTTAATATTCTTGAAATACTATCTAAAGATAAAGAGCCAACTCCTCCTAAACATTTTAATTTAAAAAAAAAGAAGGAAAGAAAGGTAGGAAGACAAGAGAGAAAAAATGAAGAAAGGAAATAAGAGGGAAGGAAGAAGGAAGGGAGGAAGGAAATACGTGCTGGCCTATTACCAACTCTGTACCCCAAGTTTCAGTATCACAAAAAAGTAATAAATATATAAGGGTAGGAAAAGTTTTAGGTGAATTATCAGAGGAGCTGAGCGTTCCTGATGGGAACGGAAAGAAAATATAAAAAGATACCCATTGAAGCCTTGAGATTTAGAAGTGTTTAAATTTAAATGGCTTTTCTGGAGTGACTTGAACCAGGTAGTTTTGATCCATCCTATATTCTAGGTATGCAACTTCACAGAAGTTACACATCTATGTGATTTAAAGGTAATTCATAACCTGCAACCTATTGCATGAGGTAAAGTGTGGAATTATCCACTTGTGCTAATGTTTGGGCTCATAATATTATGCATATCAGATGTTTGATGTTTGGGTTAGGAATGCTCAACCCTGTCCATATCTATCATAGTTAAATGTAAAATATTCTAGAAATGAAATTCAAAGATGAGCAGTTAGAATTATTTTTCTGTTTACATTTCTATTGTGGAAATTATGACTGCATTAAATATTTAAAACTTACTATTTGTGAAGCATGGTTTAGACAGTATAGTTAATTGGGTTAACTGATATGCGTACACTTGTAACACACACACACACACACATTTTTGTGTGTCTTGCATCAGTTCTGATGCCTAGTGATGAGTGTCCTCTTTATTGCTAAGGAACAAACTAGCATGAAAGCAATCACTTGTCCTCAGCATTTATATTTTAGCGCTGAAGAAAAAAAAAAAAGAATCTTGCTGATGAGTTATTTGAACTAATACTTCTCCAACATTCTGAATCCATGGGCTATTTCTTCCTGTTAGATAGCTATTGCAACAGCATTTGCTCTCCCTTTACTAGTGCCCTTGTTCTCTAATTTGTTATAACTTTCTTCTAGTTGAATTCTAGAAGTACATATTTGCCAAGTTGCTGAGGCTGACCTTGAACTGGCCATCTTCTTGCCTCAGCCTCCTGATGTGCTGCGAGATTACAAGTGTATGCCACCATCCCACACTAGAAATATGTATGTTATTAGATATGATGAAAAAAATTCCAGTTAATTGCAAGGTGTTTCTTCCTGTGTGTCGGCACCAATGCTTCATTATTTTCCTTGCAATATTGTTTCACAATAATCATGTTTCAAGCTATGAAAAGATTCCTATACCTGTACACAAGCTGTCAATACATCTTTCCTGACCCTTTCTATCCTCATTTGGGGAAATCATTTTTTCCTCATTCAGATTCCATAAGGTTCCCAAGAACACAGCTGCACCTAATGAGTTTATCTGCAAGTAAAGGGACTTGTATATTCATCCGCTCACCTGCACATGCATTGAACTCAATGCTTCCCTTTATATCTGCTTCTAATTTCTAGTTTGAGATGATAATGATGATAATGATGATAAAGAAGGTCAATAAATATTTGACAGAAAACTGAGTAAATAACATCAATTCACTTCTATTAATATTTATTTCCAAGGAATCCTGTAATCCAATTTGTACAAGATTAGTTCAACACTTGTTCTTGTACATTTAGTGAAATTGGGTTATATCTTAAGTATGTTTAAGAGACCCAAATTTTATAATGGTCATGATGATGATGATGCTAGAAAGAAAACAACATTTATTTTTAAATAAGTAGACACCTTTACAGATAAACTCCTACCCAGACATTCCTTATTAGTGCAATATAAATTGTAGAGAAAGATAAGGATTGTGAGGAATGTGTCTAGAGATGAAAAAGTCAAGAAAGGAATTTTCTAACTCAAAATATAACCCACTCAGCAATTGAGAATACAATGTTTTAGGTTTAATTCTAAGGAACATATAAGTGTACCCTCTGAGAAAATATGTCAAAAATCTGTTAGTGTATTAGTTAAGAGGTTAAAAAAAAAGATTAAAAAATCACTATTTAAACCGTGTTAGTTTTAGGAAAACATTAAAAACCTCAGGTAATAAATATTAAAACAAGTGAATATATAACTTTCTATAAATACAAAGGGGATTTAACATGAACATAATAAGAAAAGTGATTTCCACTCTAAATTGTGTTCTGAGTGAGGAGAAATTGAAGGTCAAAAGGTCTAAATGTCTTTTTGGGTTTTTTGCTGTTTTGTTTTTTCTGATGGAAAATATTTTCTGTATTTTAAGTGGCTATTGACTCAGGCAGTTGAGTGAAAAACAACTGTATTAGATAATGGAAGATGCTTAAAAAAAAAGAAATCATTAAAATCATGATTATAAGCTGGTTGGCTGCTGAATGTCCAAATTGTGGAAATTTATTGATGTTAATGACGGTAATTATGGCAATTGAAAAGTATCTAAATAACAAAAAGGCAATGCTGCTTATGAAATACAATGATACAATTTGTAATGATTAGTGGAAAAGCATACTAATATATTTGATGCAATATTTTGAAGGTCACTCAGCCATCAACTTCCCATGATGCCATTCAATTAAATACACAATAAAAATCTATGATTGTTTATGGAAAGTATTTTGTAGTGATCTTAGAATAGTATATTACAAATTCTGGCTGTATGTAAAAACAGAAACGCCTGATCTAATGAACCATTAAGCAAACTGTAGCTTTGCTGTACATTTTTTAAACATTAAACTAATTATGATGAGGTTTGGTCTTACTATATACTACATATTTAATCTTTTTAAAAGCCTATCAAATTGAATCACGAGATACAACTTGTTTGTGCTATAAGCAACCACATACAATATTAACAATGCACAATATCCTGGCTTAATTGGAAAAAGTCCATGTTATCTTAAATACACTTAGAAGTATAATACCATACAGCTGTAATTTGAACTTGCCATTTAATTATACATAAAACTAATTTATATGACTTGAAACTTTCTCTCTTTCTCTTTCTCTCTCTCTTTCCTACCTACACAGAATTCTGTGCTATGGACCTAGTTAAAATTAGATCCTTTTGAAAATGAAAGAAAATAAATGAAGATTGAGTGAGGCTTGTAGGGAGCGGAGGAGTGCTACTGCTGGTGGAAACCACACACAAGGAATCACCTAAATTTGTTTATCAATTGATGTTCTGTTTACTAAGTCAATGGGCACCCTTGGAGGACCCTTTCTGGCAATCTCTGGGCTCTACCTTCAAGTTCTATGAAAGACTCTACTTCAGAATTAGAAGGTCTTCAAAATTTCCTTCTATTCTTTTCTGCCTCCCTTCCTTCCCTTTTACTTCCCACACTTAAGAGTATGCAAAAGAAAACCTCAAATCTCTTAATGTCCTCAACTTTAGTTAGTCAAATGTTAGGAAAGTCTCTAAGTACCACCTCTTTGAGCGTAACCTGACCATGAACCCTCTGTTCCTGTGCTCTCAAAGTAGTGACTCTGCTCTTGGAACCTAAATGTTCCAATTTAGGTTCTAGAACAATCTTTAATATTCACAACGAAAGATGGATGCACATGGTGTCATCAAAAATAAAAAAATACAGTATAAATTTACATAGGACATTCAAATTTGTTTAATTAAGCTTTTTTTCAGTAGCCTGCAATCTAATGGGATAAGGTGAAACAAGTTAATTTCTGGAAGACCATAAATACCATCACATCAGAAATTGAATTTTTCAGTAAAATCGATAAAAGATAATAAAATGGCGTACCTTTACAAATTGTGACACCATTTCCTGTAAATCCCAGGTTGCAGTAGCAGGCTTCAACTCCATTGCGGATTTCACATTTTGCATTTGAGAGACAGGGTGTCTTGGTGCAATTTTGAGTATGGGCACAATTCAACAAAGTGGAAAAACCCACTAGATACAACAGAAAAACATAAAACTTTTTTTCAAAAACATCCCCTCATTGTTGAGTTAGAATATAATAAATACAAATATTCCTCTTTCTTTCCATTTAGATAAATGGATCATGAAAATTTCCCAAGGGAGCATTTAGCTAAATAACAGCACAAAAGCAACCAGGCAAAAAGAAAAAGACCTTTTTCAATTTCAATCCTTATCAAGTAAAGCTTGACAAAACTAAAATATAATAAGCAGCACAGTTTTGTAATAAAAACTATGCTTCCAGATCATTGTACCAAGGTGATCTAATATCATTCCTCACAGGTAACTGCAAGATTGTAAAGCAATTTTTCTCTTTTGGGAGTAATTATTGTAATTTTTTTTTTTTCAGAAATCAAGGAAATCTGTTATTTGGGTCTTATATTCAAATATGTGTTATTTTAAGATGATACCTTATTATCTAGGAAGACAAATGTAATTGTTGTTTATTCTTTCCTCTGTGTTCTAATGATTGTTAATTCTGCTTATCTTATAACACATTTTTTTTTTACATTTTCTTACATTAGGGGAAATTAAAACAAAATACAACATACTGTTCAAAGATTGATCTTCCAGAAATGGAATATCACCCAAACACGACCAACAAAAACAGAACAAGATTTTATTTCAAAGTTGCTGAAAATAAACTTGGAAATGCTATTTTATGGACTGTTAAGATAAGAAAAAGCATAGGGTGTTCCTTTTTTTATTGTTGTTCCAGGTCTTCTCAAGAGAAGGCTTGGGGACCAACAGTTATGAATCATGAAGTCATTGTTCTGAAAACAGACATCTGAGATAAATTGTCCCTATCTGGTACCAAGAGATCCTTAAACATTCAATTCTAAATCCCAGGCCCACGTAGGACTGTATACACTGTCTAAACCAGAATTATTTCGCCTTCCGAGATGTGATTTATTATCTTTCAGGGCAGCATCATCAAAATGGTATTTTCAATGAACCCAAAGTCTGGGCAGGCAATCCCCTTAAAATGTCAGGAAGCCTCCCACAAGTGCTAATGGCTTGGATGTCCCAGGTTTCTTGGGGGGTGGGGGGAGATCAGAAAAAAAAAGGTCAATGTCTGAGTCTTTGAGGGCTTTGGGGACTTCTCCAGTATGAGTAAAAAAGTAATATCCCTGACTTGAATACCAAGTTCTAGAATTGAAAGGCCAAGGAGAAAAACATCCTGAGAAGTCCTGCGTCAGTCCTCCTCAGAGACTCTGCCAGATGTGCATACCACGTGAGGTCCACCTTGTAAAAACTCCCCATTCCTACAAGTGACTTTTCCCCCCCGCTACCGCGGTGACCAGAGACGCCAAGCACTCACCTAGGAGCGGGAGAAGCTTCATTGGCGGCGGCCGCGGCGGTGGGGCTGGCAGTGAGCGCGGCTGGCTGTGCGGGACCCTGTACCCTGGATGGCGGGGCGGGCGCGGCAGGGTCCGGCTGGGCTCCGTCCCCCGTGACGCACGGGCTTCCTCCGGACACTTTCCGGCCTCTTTTGTGTGAGTTTGTGTGTCAAGTCCTGAGTCTGCAGGCCACGTCCGGCCTCTGGACCCTTTCCCCAGGCCACCTGGGCTGCATTCCCTGCCTGGTGACTACAGCTGCCAGGACTATTGTAGATCCCCTGTGCATCTTTTGACCCCAGGAGCAGATCTCAGAGTGTCACCCTCAAGACCTGTGTTCAATAGTCAAAAATCTCCGGAGACCCATGGAATAGCTTCCTGAGGGCATACAAAGCTAGCTAGATTTTAGGGGTCCTCCCTGCAACCTGTACTCCAGGATACAGCCTCCTACTGTTCAATAATTAACTTCCATAAGGAGCAATTGACCAAAAAGTAGTCAATAGACCTGGGTTCATGCAATACAGCATTGCCAATACTCAGTACTCACCTTGCTGGAACTCAGGGTTACAGGGAGAAGAGATTAGAATTGCTAAAACAACTGTACACACACAAACAAACAGATAGACAAAAAACCAAACAGCTAAAACAACTGCACAAAAATAAATAAATAAACAACAACAACAACAAAAAAATAGAATGATAAAAACCAAACAGCAACAAAAGCAAAATTTCAAAAATAAAACAGCTTCAGACCATTTTTAAACTGTTTCACTTAAAATACACTTGTATCTACTTTCTCACCCCAGAACAATTTATGCATCATGGATGGTTTTCCTTTTGCTTGTTACTGAATAAGTTCATTATGTAGAAACATGATTCAGGTTGGAACATAAAAACAATTCTAGCTTAAAAATTAAGTATAACCGGCAGGTAAAATAAAATGTAAAAATGGGAATGCAGATCAGTGGTTTAAGACGAGTGAATTGACTGCAAAATTTGGGGTAATGGTAATATTGCATATCTTGATTGAGATGGTAATACATGAGTACAAGCATTGGTCAAAACTCATCTAATTGTGTACTTAAAATGGGTTCAATGTATTGTATGTTAAAGAAATCAAATTCTAGGTAAATTTAAATAAAATCAATTTAAGGAAAAGAAATGACTGATGTTCATACCATCTACAGTAGCCATTGTGCCTGGAAATATTTGGATTTACCCTGTCAAATCCCAAAGTCTGATTCACCCAATGTCAACCGTGAATGGACATTTTATAGACAGCATCTTCAAAACTATGAACAGCTGTGGTCCCCCCAGCTCCATGGAGTTTAACAAAATAGTGGTGGTAAAAATCAAAATGAGTCATAATGACACATCACAAAGACATTAAGTGCTTAAGTGTAGACACATTTCCCTGGCTCTCCGCAGCATTTTCCTGGATCCTTTCTAATTTAGTTTAAAGACGACCAAAAATTCCTGAGAGTAATACCACAATATGTGAAGCTAAGAAGGAAGAGAGTGTTACATGCCTTGCTCAGAGTCACAGTTATTCTTAGTAGCTGGGCTTGATTCAATCTCAGGCTATTTTGCTCTTAGTTACCTACTATATTCCTTCCATAGTGTCCCTACCCTCAGGAGGTTGTTGAAAGAATGAGAAGCCATCAGATAGTGCTACTTAAGGACCTTGAAAACCCTTAAGGTAAAACAAGAACAACAACAAACACAAAACTTTTCTTTTAAAGATTTCTTTTATCTTTCTCTTTCTGCTCTTCCAAACTCTTCCTACTGGGGATTGAACAGGGAGTCAGGGAGGAGGGGTACACCTGTGCCACTGAGCTGTATCCCTAGATCTTTTTGTTTATTTAATTTGTTTGAGACAGTATCTCACTAAGTTGTCCAGGCTGGCCTTGAACTTTTCATCAGTATGTCTCAGTCTCCTGAGCACATGGGATTACAGGACGATACCTCTCTTTTTAAATAGGATAGCAATTCAATAGAAAAAATCTGATAGCAACACAAATGATGGATTTTAAGAAGATACCAAAGGCAAGGAAGCAAGAATAGAATACAAAGAGTATAGGCAGTAAACAACAAATTCCTGAACAAGAGTAGACGATTTAGGGATGGTGAGGTAAGTACATGTTTGAGGTAGAGAGTATGCAGATTTTCAAGTTATGTGAGTGGAAGAAAGAGCTATTCTCACAAAAAGGAAAGCTATGGTAAAAACTACCTTTGAAGGAGAAAAAAATTGAGCCTTTTTTGCAACATAAAATTGGAAGTACACCGATAAAACAGATCTGACTCTGTTTAGGTGAAACTAGTTCCTTCATGTGAAGCTGAGTTTCCATGTGCTGTATATACAGAGAAACTAACTTCAAAAGGCTTAAATATAGAAGTGAATTATTTTCTGAGACAAGCTATAAACTGAAATACAGCATCTATTTAAAAAAAAAATCATTATTCTAAAATAATTTACCCCATATATCTGTTACACATGCTTAATCTTTAGTTTTATCCCAAAGAATAGAGAAGACAGCCAAATCTTTTAAAATATAATTCTTCTCTGTACATTGCTTAAAAAATAGCAAAACAGAATTAAAACTTGAATTTCTTATTAAAATATTTTTCAAGCCTTCCTTTCACCTGGGCATTCTTTCTAAAGGTAAAAATCTATTCATACTTCTCATTAAGAAAATGATAGCATACAGGTGAACACAAGTGTTTACTACTATACTTCTGGTTTACAGATGGCAAGTTGCAATATCAAAATTGTTTAAAAATATATTGATCGAAGAAGCCTGCATTCCCTAAAGGAATACATGTAATCACTGTGTAACTCTGAATCCATCATCTTTACATTACTTACACAGAAGCATTGAGAATTTTCAATAAAAAATTTAATTGTCAATGAAAGAAAGCGTGTTTGAAAGAGGTGTTTTACAAAGGAATATTGAACTGTATGTCTAAACTTTTATCAACACATTTCCTTTGGGTGCCATTGGGGCATGTTTGTCTTTTGAAGATAGAATGATCACTTGGAGCTTAAATGTGGCTAAGTATGGCACATGGAAGTCAAGTCACTTTAAGCTGCCTACCTAATTGTGATTTTTAGGAAATACACCATTGTATTGGCGTATTCTATCATCAATGTAAGATCTTATCATATTTATGCTTACTTCTATCTGAGGTCTGTTTACAAATGCTGAATTATACAGGATTTCCTCGAAAAGTTCTTGTACAGATTTGAGTTTGCTATGGAAGGTATTCAATGTGAAAACCTCAGTTTAGCTCTAGCTTTTATCTTGAATGGATTCTTTAACTTTATTGGGGATCAGTTGACCTGTTACATGGAAATTGAGATAGTGCATTACCTGTCAGAATTATCAAACATCCATACTTTAAACATTCAGCTCATCTAAATACAGTAAATCAGTGCACAGTTGATTGAAAAGACCTTCCCCGAAGTATTGCAAAGGCCTCTACTAGAAACATAATGCTGCTCCTGGACCTTCCTTCCTGAGGCCTTTGAGACAGTGTCTTAATTCTCACCTAAGTGTTAATGTGATTGGATTCTGTTTGTCAAACCATAATACTGAACCTCCAAACCTTAGTCATCACAGTTCATTTGACTTTCTCAAATTACTGGACTTTCATCATCAATTTGTTAATTTGGGTCATTTCTCATGACTTCACACTACCACAGTTCCTATAGCACAGCTGGATTACCATCTACCACATTATTTTTCCCTGAGCCTCAATTTTTATCAAAACCAGCTTGAACAATGTACAAATGGCAAAAGTACTCCAGAAAGATAAAGAAAGAAGACTTTATTACAACAAAGTAATATTGAAAGTTAAAAAAAAAATCTTTGAGCAAAGTGAAACTGGAACCCACTCAGACTATGGGAACTCCCATAAGGATAAGAACTGAGTTATCACAAAATGGACTTCTTTGTTAAATGCTTCTTCTTAATGTGGTCTCTTACTTTCAGAGATTAGCTGGAAGTTGCTTGTCTCAGAGGTCCTGTAAGTATACAGATGTATTTTTTTATCATTGGAATATCGAAGTATTATCTATTGAATTTAAATTTAAAATAAAAGTCAGCAAAACAATTCTATTTGCAGTAATTCTAAGTTCTGGGTTGGGGGTGGGGGACAAATTCTTTTTTGTCTAGTGTTAAATTTATAATGTAATATATAATATAATTTCCACTATGGAAAGAGATGTTGCAATATTCAAACATAGCTCTCTGGAAATTTGGATCTTTATAATCTGTATTAATATCTGTCAACATTTTGTAATAAAAATACATTACAATATTTTAATATACGTTTCTACTTAGGTATCTGTAATTTAATCATCTAATTATGAACCTCAAGTTAGTCTTTCAAAGACCATTTTTAAAATGATTTTCCAAGATTACGAGTAGGAACATTTGACGGGCTTTCCTGCTGGTAACCTTCTCAGTGGAAGGTGGTGCAAAAAGCATCTGCTAATTTTCAGTGTTGCATGGAAGGGAGGAGGCCCAAGTTCCTTCCCAGCCTGGTTGTTCAATTGTTCTATGACCTTCAAAAAATCACTAAATCTTTCCATTATTCTGTTTAACATTTGCAAATGTCCTTGTTTTGTATGGTTTCTTTTCTCCTCAAGGTTCCCTTCATAAAGATTTATAAATGAGCACCAACACTTAGGAACAGAGAGAGAGAGAGAGAAAGAGAAAGAGAGAGAGAGACCTGAGTCTGTTAATTTTGTTTGCCTTTTAACACCTGTCTAAATTATTTCATTAATTTCTTTTCCTTTCTTTAGGACTTTTGCATATTACAAAAATCTAAATCTGTCCACATTTTATAAAAGGACTGCACTCTTGAAACAGAAACCATGTTACTCACTTTCTATTTAATATTGTTTCACTTTTTACTGTGCTTTCCTCATGTTGTAGCTCTGATTATTCATACTTGATTGCTCTTCTTCATCAAGTTGTCTAGAATAATGTCCTGAGAGGTTACTGAATTCGTCAGGATGTATAAGTGATTTAAATTATTCTTTTTAGATTTGTAATACATTGTACTTTACATTAAATTTCATCTACCTTTATGTTCTTCAATCACTAGCTTGTTACATCTTCTTAC